GGCGGAGTTTACGTCCGTTGCCGCCATCTTGGGGGCGTGCTCAGAGTGGGCGGTGCCCTTCCCACGCTTCCTTTTCCTGCGGCGGGTAGTTTTGTTATCTGTCGTTGTCGGGGGTAGTCTTGATTTGGGCCCGTTTGCAGGGGCCATCAGTGACGAGGGAGCTGTCTCACTCACCTCGTTGGGGTTTATCGCCGCTCTCGTGATGGGGCCGGAGACAGGGCCTGTCTTAGCCACTGTGCTCGCCTTTTTATTCCGGGCTTCCTTTTTGATGGTTGGGCACGACGAGTGGTTCGCCGGATGGGCGCCTCCACAGTTCGCGCAGGTAGCGGGTTCGGTGCGCGGGCGGGGGCAGTCGGCAGCTGCGTGGGGCTCACCACAACGGACGCAGGCCAAGGGCCGGTGGCATCCCTTCGAGGAGTGCCGAAAGCCCTGGCACCTGTGGCACTGCGCCGGTCCTCTCTTGCCTCTCCACGCCTCGATCAAGACGCCCGGCATGCTAAGCAGCTCCTTAATATGATAAATTTGTGGTATAATACCTGGGGTCTGTTGGAGTGAAGCGAAGAAAATGCATCCGGGTCTCCCTGCTCGCGCCCGGATACGTTTCGCGTACTCGACTGTGAAACCCTTAGAGGCTAGGGCTTCCTGAATTTGGGTTGGTTCGGTATGGTAAGGTAGGCCTCTAATCGCTACCTTTACGCTCCGTTCCTCCGGGAGGGCATAAGAGTACCAACTCACACCGGCTTGTACTTTGTCTAAATTAGACAAGTACGCCTGTACGAGTCGGTACTCCTCTCCGTCCACGGGGGAAAAACGTACTCCCATCCCAAATGGCCTGGCGTTCGGCGGGTGCCCCAACTGCTCATGCAGAGCCTTGAAATGGCTCGCCCAGTCGGGCATCTTTTCGACGACTATGGGTGGGTACCTGTATTGTTTAGGTGGCTGCGTTGCGTCTGAATTTGTCGTCGGGAGCGCCGTCGATGTCGCTGTCGACGTCGATGTCGATGTCGTTGGCTTGGTCGACGGGTGGGCGGGCATCGTGGTTAAGCTTCCATGAGCTTTCGGGGGTGGGGCCGAGGGCGTGGTTACGGCCTGTGAGTAAGATGGAATCGGAGGGTAGTTGTAAAACTTTACCTGCGGCTCTCCGCTCGGTATAGCCTCACTAGCATACCCTTTTTCTGTCGATGCGTTTTTCTCAATGGATTGTGGGGCCGATGTATCGATGCGCCGGGCTGTTGCCCGCTGCGTTTGCGGTGGCACGGGCGTTGATGCGATGCCTCTCGACGCTGGCGTAAATTGCAGTGGCGGCGTGTCTGTCCTGTCGCCGCTGCTGAGGGAGCGGTGCAGTCGCGGGTCACGCGGGCGGCAGTGTCGCTTGTCCGGCGTTTCAGGCGGCGTTGCGCGTGTTCGCTTTCCGTACGGGCCGTACCAAGGGACGTCCGGGTGCGGCTCCTCAACTGGCGAGCTGCTTATCGCCTTGAGCGCCTTCATCGCCAGGTCGTCTGCGGGACATAGGCACGGTGTCTTACCGGATTCCCGCTCCAACAGCCGAACGTAGGTGGCCATCCAGCGATTCATCCTATCCGACACTAGGCCGGATTGGATGATCCGGGTCACCATCACTGCGTCAAATTCATATTTGACACTGAGTGATGGCGTCCCTTCCATCCTGAACGAATCGCTGGCGGCTCCTTCGGTTGTTGTAGCGGGACTTGCGGTGGGTAGGATATTCCGTCGCTTGGGGGTAGGCGGCAAAGCTGGAGTGGCAAAGACGTCGTCGGCGGTCGTGGACGTCGTTTGCTTCGGAGTCGGCTGGTGTGTCGACGGCTGTGATTGCGTCGTAGGCGGCGTTGGCGGTGGCGGATGGTCTGCCATAGTTGCGCGTGTGGGTGAGCCGGCGCGCGACCCTGAGCAGCGCGCGCGAGCGCGCTGCCCCGCGGCTACGAGGGGGGGGGCGGTCCCCGCTGGTCGTGAGCGACCAGGCAAGGTTCGCCTGCGCTTATCACACGATAAGCCGGGAACACTTTGTCTTAGTATCGGATCCGTGCGCGATTTTGAAAAATACTTTGGCTCATGCGGTCCTCTTTAGATCACAATCATCCCCCACCTATTTATTGTATTACAAAAGATGGATATTATGTAAAACTGTGACGACATAAAACTATTATCTCCACTCAAGCGCCAGGAAATTATAGTTCCTTGCCAACATAATAAACTTATTGAGCTGGCTTATTTCAAAAAAACTTTCTTACACGATAATCCTACTCAGCTTCAAATAGGAGAAAAAAACTCTTTCAGCCTTTGATTTTATCGATCCAATATGTGGAAGTATTGACCACTATAAGGCAAATTGCCCAATGATTTTTTGACAAATGTAAATCATGAAACGAGAGTCGTCACTGTTTAGTTTACATGTTTTAATAGGTAATTAATTTTTTTATAAATTTATCATAATGGGTTTATGTCTAATGTGAGTGTTCTTTTTTTTCCAATTATCTGTCATCAAGATTATTAAACCAACAAATTAAACGTTTATAATTAATCATAGATGTTTAGTCAGAAAAACAGATGAATAAATCAAGAAGCTCATTGTAATAGATGCATTTATGTTTTCCTACCAGGCTCAAAAAGACAAATAATAATGAAGATCACATTAATAGGTACATTTTCAAGAACAAAGTTCATGCACTTAGTGTTTCTTTATAAACTTCCTGATATTATCAATCAGCTTACTGCGGAAATCCATAAAACAAGTAAGTGCTCTCGAAATTGCCTTTCATTTCCTCATTTGATTCGTAAAATTAATGTCCTTTAATTTAGATAAATTTGGATAAGAATACTTCGCTGGGAGGATCGCATGGTATATATTTTTTGAAATTCCTGGTTATTAAATTTATTTGTATGTAATAATTTCATGTAATAAAAACGTGTAAATGGAAATATTGCCGATACACATGGCCGTAACATATCGATGGCGCAAATAATATACAGGAAAACATAGTGAAGAGCCGGAAGAAACTTGTGTCGGTAGTTCAAACTTTGCTCAGCAAAGTACCAAATTGGGGACGACTTAATCTAGTCCAGTTTAGACCCAGAAAGACACAGATATACGCGTTTACCGCTAAATAAATACTATTTGTCTTATCCCCCCTTTTTGAGAACACTGCCTCAGCTATATAGTATCGGTATTTTTGGCGTTGACATATCGAGTGACATCTAGTTTCAAGGTCATCTAGAGGGTAAGGCTAAAGAAGGTGTGCTCAATAGATCGAGCAGGTACTTCACACCGGCTCGCCGACTGCAACTTTATGAAACATAGGTTCGGCCTCACTCCAGTACCAGCTTCTCCCTCTGGATCGCATCCAGTGCCGAGTGACTCGAATGGTCGACGACCAGGTCCTTTCCGATAGGCTTGATCCTTTAGCTTTACGTTGAGATGTAGCTTCGCTCTGAATCTTCTATAGCATTTATCACGGGGAATGTTCTGAGGAATTGTTCGGATTAATAGCTGCTGCTTTTCGCTATTACACATTGCAACAAAAAAAAAAAAAAAAAAAAAAAAAAAAAAAATATTCCCACCGTCTTGATGCGTGGCTATCCGCAACCTTGCGCTTTGTTGAAATTTTTTACCTTGTACGACAAAACTGTGGAATACTTTGAACTAGAAGGACTTGAAAACCTTCAAAAAAGAGAGCTTACTGCCTCTTTAAAGGCCGGCATCGCACTTGGGATACTCCTGGTGTTGTAGGTGTCGGCGTATATCGCGGCCAACAATTTCATCACCACCATCTTGATGCGTGGCTATAGAACCTCGCGATATTTTCGATTTTTTTGCCTCTTATGACAAAACTGTGGAATACATTGTCATCACTAGTGATTCCGGACCAATAAGACTTGAAACCTTCAAAAAAAGAGCTTAAAGGCCGGCATCGCATTTGAGATACTCCTGGTGTTGCAGGTGTATATGGGCTAATCGGGTGAGCCGTCAGCTCGTACTATATGCATATGTCTCTTTTACCCCGAATCGAATGAGCGTTTAATTTCTAATACTACTTATTAGAAAGTACAGATGAAATGAGATGAACACACCATGTTATTCGATACTAAACCTTTGAATCTGAGACAAAATAATTATTTTGATACAATGGTTGTGTGGTATATGGTGTGGTAAATTGGGGATAAATAAAACGTCCAACTTACAGCTGACTCCGTCCGTCAATATAATCCCATAAAGCACATATATACACATTAACAAACAGAAGGCGAAGACGGTTCAAGATATAAAGTCAAAGCACAGTAGCCTACAGTTGTATAAGTTTTAACTTTCAACCGAAAAATGCTTTGTCTTCCTACAAATTGCGAGACTGGTTGTTGATGATATTGTTCATCACAGAGACATTTACGAAGAGCATTCCATACTTCATGATACTTTTTTTTTTCCAGAAGCTACATTCGTAAGGTCTAGGCAGGGTGGTATCCTTCTGCGTATAGGAGGTTTTACATTCAGAAGACAACACAATCCAAACCAAACCGCTAAAATTCGGTGGAATTGCTCTTCGCATTGTAACAAGAAGTGTAAGGCTGCAGTTTACACCTTCGGCGACACCACCGAAATAATCAAATGTAACAATGTTCACAACCACCCAATGAGACACGAAAATGTATATTATTAAATTTCTAATAAATATTTCTCGGATATTTCTTACGGTTTTCCTTTTAAGGGTTCCGTAGTCCTGACAAGGCACCCATATAGTTTCGTCATGTCCATCTGTTCGTCCCCGGTTATGCTTGATGGAGATATCATCGTGTGGGATATCGTTGAATAGGTCCTTTAAAGTGCTAATTTTTGCACGTGTAGGGCGTTTCAGGAGTAATGTAGCTTTCTATTGGTGAATTTTCAAAATAGACTTAAGTGGATCCAGGGCTTACTTAATACAAACAAACAAAAGTACCTCTTTACAATATTATAACAGGTATAAAATAAAATATAAAAAAATAAAAACATGATTGATGATGAACACAAAGGCTCAAATAATATTGGCAACAATTTCGTTATCCAATGTTAGTATTTTCAATATCTATAAATATAGATATATCAACTCTTACGCTTATCTCGCCGTAAGCAAACCAAGGGTATATTTAGTTTAACGGGATAATTTGTGGTTAATGAGACAAATTGTTACTAACACTAAGGCCCACTTACACCAAAGTTCTGAATTCACATATTTGACTTTAAACGATTGACAAATATAATATCATGAGTTAAACAGAATTAAGCCCTAATTTGAATTAAAGAATGTTGGTGCAATGTAAATTTAAAGTTATTTTCGGAACTGTTTTAGAAAACCATAAATTATAACATATTAAAAAAGCCTTTCCTTTGTCTTTTCGTGTTAATCAATGATTCAATCTTTATATTTTTATACCTACCTATATGCTTACCTTTACTATAATAATTTAATTAAAAATCATTATAGCCAATAAACAGAGAGAATTAAAAAATACTAGCAAACCCGTGAACCGAATGTTCACCAAAACCTGATTTAAAAAAAAATGTATTTAATTAATTGAGAACTTCGGAGATTTTGTGTGGTTTCGTTTGAAATTCGTGATTTCTCGAAAACCGGAAGTGCTACGTTACTCAAATCCGGTTTGTAGTCTTATCAGACTATTCTTAACTTATAACTTAAATATTCTCTTTATCTATCTCTTACGGTTTGGCCGCTGAAACAGCACCACAGACAGACGGACGGACGGACGGACGGACTTGTCTAATAGATAAGAGATATTTGTTTCTTAGGTTTTCACGCACATCGCTCATTAAATAAAACTAGTTTTAACGGGTTAATGCACGAAACTTTATTTATTTATTGACGTTTCGCAGCCTTTTCAGGTCTGCTTCGTCAGAATGCTATTTTTATAATATCACGCCACATGTATATTTTATTTTTGTTCCAGATCCCATATTTATAAAGTCCAGGAGGGGTGGTCTTCTTCTGTCTATAGGAGGTTACACTTTTAGCAGACATTGCCAGTTGAGCAATAAATTTCGCTGGGCATGCACACTTGCGAAAAGACAGGGCTGCAGGGCTGCAGCTTATACATGTACTAAAGAGGGCCAAGTGATCGAATGCAATAATGAACATAACCATCCGGTCAAGGGCGAAGAGCAGGCCGACGCCAGATACGCAGAAAGTAAGTTCCTATATAAATATCGTTTCACAGTTTTTGTTATCAAACTCTTCTAAAACGGCTTCACCTTTTTGTGTATATCTAATAGATTTGAGAATAGATCTTAGATATTTTTGAAGTTATAAGAGTGGGTCTCAAGAATTGATTTGAATTTTTTTCAGACAACAATATTTTATTTGGATTTGTTATCATAAACACTTACACTTAATCCTTAATTTTCAGCCATTTACTACCTACCCCTGTTTTATGGAAGTACGAAGTTCCCTGCATCAGCTAGTCATTTAATAAATATTATTGTACGCGACGAACGTCTTTTGTACACTTTAAGTTTTTTACTTTTTATATTTCCTTTTCCGCGCTTTCAAATTTTCAACGTAAACGACCGACTAATATTTTGTAATGAGGATCTGTTACGGTTTAAGTTGAGAATGTCGATTTATGGAACTAAGGATTCCATAAGATACAGTCGTTAAATTTTTGTTCTACGACGAAAATTAACGAAGTTATGACAAAATTTCTAAACGAATTTTTCTACTGGCCTGCGCGGTGAATATGACGTCACAGAGCTCTAGCGCTCGGCTCGCGCTAGGTTTTATTTATGTGTGGGTATGGTTAGACGCGTTGGTTTGGTTGAATGCGCTTATCTCATAAACTACTGGACCGATTTGCAATTTTTTTTTGTTGTTTAGTCCATGTATTAAGAAAAATTTAAGGTTATATAACATGATGCTACAACCAATAGGAGCGGAGCATTAATGAATAATGTTGTAAAAACAGGACAAAATATCCCTTTTGTGAACTTCCGTTGCGTGCGCTGCGTATAAAGTTAAAGTAACGCAAAAATCATGTATGATGGAATTGTTTCCATTGAAAGGTTTAAAAACAGTTCATAACAACATAATGTCTTATTTATAAGTTTACTAGCTAGGGTTCCGTATCCAAAGGGTAAAAGGGGGAACCTATTACTAAGCCTCCACTGTCTGCCAGTCTGTTTGTCGGTCACCAGACTGTATCGAGTGTGTAGACGAGTTCTGTGACGTCACACGCTCTGACAGTGCATCCCGTCTGTCGATAAATATTGGCTTTAAAAAATAGTTATAAAATGACAACGAATGGGCCGATTTGGATGATTAAAAAAGTATATTGATGAGCATATTTATTTTGTACATATCTCGCAGTTCTAGTATATACATTTTCAATAGTTTATTATTAAATTAAGTGTTTTATTAATAAATCGCGTATAAACATAACAAGAATTTCTATGGAGGTTTTACCGCTATTCTTTTTCTTTGTAAAATTAACTTTTGTTTTTAGTCTATACCTAGTATAAAATAATTCATTTAAGAGCGGTGCGAAAAAACCGTTAATGATTTAATGCAAAATAACCCTTCTTTACAGGTGCTTCGTTCAAATTGACGAAACGCGGCAATCTTCTAATGAACCTCGAGGGGTTCAGCTACAGTCAGCACAAGTCGTACGGCAATAAAACAAGATGGGAGTGCACTCAACGCTCCAAAGCTCGTTGCAAAGCTGCCGTTGTCACTCTTACAGAAACCCAAAAGATTCTCCGGCTATATGGCGAGCACAATCATTCTTAAACGAAAAAAATATAAATTAATTTGTAAACTAATTAACTCGTTTTTCAAGTCATATACTTGAAACAAGGGAAGTCTCTTATGGCTCCTACACATAATGCCGGCATCACCGCCGCTGGCCTCCGCGGCCCAGATGTGTGGCAATAGCCGCAAAAACTTCCACAAAGCCGTTGAGCATATCAAAAAAAGACCATATTTTAGCAAGCTAAAGCTTTTTTTATGTCCCCGCATGTGGGCAAGCTGTGTACTAATTATTCCAGAATCCAAATTTTCACCTGTTCAGCTACAATACATTATTACCAAATTAAGCTCCTAATAATAAAATTCTTGACAATAAATTACTCCGTCTCCTAGGTATCCCCTCATCTTTGACGATGCTATTCCGATTTTCATTGATGAACACCAAATATGAGCAGTCCTCCAACAAAATGTTAAAACACACCTCACATGACTTTGTATATAATTTAATTAGCATTTTAATAAACTTACACAGTGCAAGTCCATTTATTTAATTTTATTCTTAACTTTTTGAAGATGGCGTGATTTATAATATCTAATAATCTTTGCATATTTTTGTGGATATAATACATTTTTTTGTAATATCTAACTTAGGTTACTACTTTAGATTAAGCAATTTAACTCACGAAATCTTACATGTTATTATATTATATTATATTATATTATATTATATTATATTAAATTATATTAAAATAAATGTCCTGCTTGATACCGAAGACAAGTTATTTTTTATAAGTAAGATTATCTTTATATAAATAAAAAATCTCAACCCTCAAATAATCTATTACTATGGCTACTTGTTCTAGGTCCTGTGTTTATGAAGTCCAGGTGTGGTGGTATCCTTTTGTCCATAGGAGGTTTCACTTTCAGCAGGCACCGGAGATCAGCGAACAAGACTCGCTGGAATTGCTCCTCGCATAATGGCAGGCATTGCAAGGCTGTAGTTTTTACACTAGACGAGACCAACGAAGTTATCAAATGCTATAATGTTCACAACCATCCAATGACGTGCGATGTAAACACGGCACATACGAAAAAGTAATTAGAAAATGATTTTCTTTGTAATCACTTTTGATTTATGATACAAAAAAAAACCTTTGTGTATGTTTGTGAGTATACAATTTAGCTGTAAATAGCATCTAATTTTCGCCTTTTTTCAGACTATTTATTAAAACGCCTATACGGTTTATATAATAGTATTTTTTTATAACACTAGCTGTCCCAACGAACTTCATACCGCCATTTAAAAATACGGGTTGGTGGTAGAAGGGTGAAAATTTAGGGTTGTATGTATTTTTGTATGATGTATCATAAAAAAATAAAAAACAAACTTTGTCCAAAAAAATATATTTAAAAGTGGATCACCCTTAACATTTAGGGGGATGAAAAATAGATATTATCTGATTCTCAGACCTATTGAATATGCAAATAAAATTTCACGAAAATCGGTGGAGCCGTTTCGGAGTAGTTCAATTACGCACACCATGACACGAGAATTTTATATATTAGATACCACAATGTGGACGAACATTAAGGTCCACTTGCAGCAATTTCGCTAAATACCAATATAACTAAAACTAAATTTAGCCCATATGATAATGTCAAATTCACATTGAGGTTGTGACATTCTTCTATGGGATATAGGTACCTAGTTAAAATTGAATCGAGATTTAGCAAATTTACTGCCCACTTATTAAATAAACATTTTTAATAAAGCTGTACACACCGTTACCTATTATGGACGTATTAAGTACATGTTATATTCATCTCGTCGCACCTATACATTTTGAGTATTTGGTAACGATTCTGGTATGATTCTCTTAACTTAAAACTAGATTTTACATCAGTAAATATCTCATAAAGAGACAACAAGGATACGCTATTGTAAAATTTTATTTTATATTTAGAGAATCACGCCAGAAACAACACTAATGCCAATATAAACTAAATAAATGATGTTAGGTAAAACCGCATATAAATATAAAAATTAAAATTGCACTCGTAAGTAATAACAAAATGAAGACTGAAGTATATGATGACTAAATAAAACATGTTTCAACGGGTAACATGTACTTATTTTATTTGTTTCTTGACGTTTCGCAGCCTTTTCAGCCAGCGTCGTCAGACTAATGACATTTTTTTTAGTGAAATGTATTTTATTTAATGAGTGATATGCGTGAAAACCTAAAAAACAAATATAATATGATGACTGTTACAGGTCCTGTGTTTATAAGGTCCAAGTTTGGTGGCATCCTACTGTCTATAGGAGGTTTCACTTTCTGCAAGCACCGAAGCACCAAGTACAAGACTCACTGGAAATGCGCCACGCATTGTGGCAAACATTGCAAGGCTAAAGTGTTTACACTGGACGAGACCAACGAAGTTATCAAATGCTATAACGTTCACAACCATCCAATGACGTGCAATGCGAGAATGGTACATTTGAAAAAGTAATTTAAAAATAGATTTTTTTGTAATTGCTAATAAATATAGCTTTATTTATGTTTGTTAATATACAATAGGTTGTAATAAGCATTTAATTATTTTCGCCTCTTTTCAGACCATACATTAGAAGTCAGTATGATGTTTCCAGATTATGTTATATTAATGTTCCTCCACATGTTTTATAACATTTTTGTTTTAAATATTATGTAAGAAGTAATATAAGATGTGGATGAACATATAACAATTTTTATATTGTTTAGATGCACCTTTAGATACCTTGGATGTCTTATATAACAAAAGTCACAATGGTGTCGATTCTGGCACGATTCTCTAAATCTAAACTTAAATTTGACATCAGTGTATCCGTGTCATTCTCTATACAGAATGAAAAGGAGAGACTGATGTTAAATTAAGTTTTAAGTTAAGAGAATCACGCCAGAATCGACACCAATAACGTACTAAAAAATCTCGACACAACTACACACTTTGAGTCAATGTAATTGTGGGTAAAAAGGTAGGAAAGTAAAATTGTTTTTAATTACAAAAATTAAAATTGAAACCACGAGTAATAAAAAAAAAACAAATAACAAACTTTACTTGTTACAGGTCCTGTGTTTATGAAGTCCAGGTATGGTGGTATCCTTCTGTCTATAGGTGGCTTCACTTTCAGCAAGCACCGGAAATCAGCGCACAAGACTCGCTGGAATTGTTCCTCGCATGCTGGCAGGAAATGCAAGGCGGTAGTTTTTACATTGGACGAGACCAACGAAATCATCAAATGCTACAATGTTCACAATCATCCAATGGTGTGCGATGCAAGGGCGGTACTTATGTAACAGTAACTTTTTAGTATTACAAACAAATATAAATGTCCTACTTGAACCGAAGACAACTTTATTTTCGAGTATTTTTTTCTTTATATGAGTAATAAGTTAACGTTTAAATAATAAAATTATGTTCGGTACCATAACTACTTGTTCGAAGTCCTGTGTTTATGAAATCCAGGTGTGGTGGTATCCTTCTGTCTATAGGAATTATATTTATATATTTCACTATCAGCAAGCACCGGAAATCCAGATTCAAAATTTGCTGAAAATGCGCCATGCACTGTAGCAAAAATTGCAGGGCTGTAGTTTTTACCCTGGACGAGACCAACGAAGTCATCAAATGCTAATACTTTCACAACCATCCAATGAAAACTGTTGTCACGTTTACAAAAATAGCAAACAAGAATAGCCTAGTGAAGTGCCAGCATAATATGTATATCCAAAGTCAACTTTAAGAGTTCCAGAGCTGATATTTTTATTATAGTTTAATCTCAAGATTTTTTTTTAATTTCCTAGATACCTTGATAGTCGAAATTTGATGTTAATGCATTTTTTAAGTATATATTAATAAAAAAAAGGAATGTTCTAATTCAAATAAATCTAAATCAGATTTGGTTCATAAACCTTGATGTGGAAAGTCCAACACGCACTTGATCGTATTTTTGAAATGCGTCGAATTTACTTAAAAAATATTAAATTGTTTTAGTATCTGTTTATCAATAAAAAATCTTATCAAATAAGCATTCAGGTACAGGGCAATAATTTAATCATTCAGGTTTACTACGTTGAGTACACTATAATATTTCAAAAAATACTCTTAACTTTAAGTATTACAGGAAACACAGTATGCACTAAAATAAACAGTAGACAAAACTATACTTAAAAGAGACATTGGTGGATGAACGTGTAAAAGAAGACCGAGGCGAAACCGAGGCATACATCAATGCCTAGTTGTGGCCAAGTCTTGTATAGTATTTTTCTCAAATAATGCGCAGAAATTAACACCAAGTAGTACCTAGGCAGAACTTTCGAAATTGTGGAAAACCAATGACGAACTCATTTGTTTGATTTTTCATAAAGAGTTTTCTATTTCAAAATCCAGTTCGAAATTTAAACAAAACCTTTGATAATTTACCGACTCTTTATCTTTAACTCCGAGAGGCAGACGGAGTTTTTGGCGGGATTTCATCGAGTGCGGTTGGCGTCTTATTTCAATTATTCTTAAATTCGTTCATAGTGGATATTGTGTAATAAAATTGGTGTGATTTTGTGTTACAACCTCGCATGTATAGAACTAGTACAGCAATTTCGATTTATGTTGAAAAAGGTTGTCAAGATAATGCTCACATTTCCAAGCATATTTGCAAAAAAATCTAAAAATACACTCCATTGTTTTACACCACTCAGGATACAAAAGAAACAAAACATGACATACAGATCGTACATGATATAAGCGGCATTATTGCTAGGTAGCAATCTCTTCCAGACAACCCATAGTAAAGAAATAAATAAATAAGAAAAACATAGAGGAGGGGTGTAACTAGGGTTGCCACCCGTACTTTATTATAAAGTATTGTACGTTATTTCGGGTAATTGTACTCTATACTTTATGCTAACAATAAAGTACGCGAAAATACTTTATTTAATGTGATTTGATTATTCGCGGATTAATTTTACATAAAATATACAAAAGAGGTTGATAGGAAGAATTTTTGCATAAAGCGGACAGAAAGTTATGAATATGAAATGAAATGAATATGTTGCCCTTAGCTAATTTCTGCAACATTTTCGAGGCTATATGCCTTTGTATCATGACCTTTCCCATGGCGGAAAAAAACTGCAGTAGCCGCAAATTATTTATTAAAAGTTGCTAACAACTAAGCAACGTAAAATATATTTTTAAGCTTACTAATAAAATGGAATAAAAAGTACTTTATTTTGGACACAATGTACTTTTTTCTACCTTTAATATCCAATGTACTTTATTTCGACAAAAAAGGTGGCAACCCTAGGTGTGACAGTAATAGTAAATAATAATAAGGGAAACAGAAAAACCAAGTCCATTTCCAATCAGCAATAGTAATTTTATTGTTGTATAATTAAGGTTACTATTAAAACACCTATTTTGATACTGTTCCAGATCCCATT